TTACAGGCTTATGTCACCAGCAAAGAAAACACAAATTATTTTGAACCCAGGGTCTTGTGCATACTAGGCAAAAACTCAACCACTGAGTTACACCCCAACTGAATAGTCAGGGTTCTCTAGAGGAACAGAATCAGCAGGAAGTATAATTATCAAAAGGGACTTATTAGTTTGTTTTATGCAACCAGAAGCTGGATAGTCCACAATGGCCATCTGCAGGCTAGAGAGCTGGGAGAACCAGTAGCTGCAGTCCAAGAGGCTGAAGCCCCAGAACCAGAGGGAACCATGGTGCTACCCTGGTCTGAGATCTAAGCCTTGTGGAGAATCTCTGTGAGAGTCCACTTGGGAAGAATGAAGAAGCAAGAATCCGATATTCTATCGCAGTAGCCATCAAGAACCAATTCAAGAAGGAGTAAACTTCATCTGCTGCTGCTACTTTGTTCTTCCAACTTTTATTCCATCCAAGCCATCATCCTATTGGTCGCGGCTGCCCACACTTAGGGAGGGTCTTCATTTCAGTTGGCTATCCCACATGCCAATCACTCCTAGATAATGTAATTGATACATCCATAATTCTCTTATTCCTTGGCATCTCTCTTTTTATTCTCCTAAATATTTATTTTTTAGTCATAGTTGGACACAATACCTTTATTTATTTTATGTGGTGCTGAGGATGGAACCCAGTGCCTTGCACTTGCTAAGTGAGTGCCCTACGGCTGAGCCACAACTCAGCCCCTCCTTGTCATGTCTTAATCCAATCAAGTCAACAATTCAAATTAACCATGACACCAACCCATAAATTTTCTTAAAACTCTCAACAAAAAAAGAGGTAAAAAGGAAAGAAAAAATACAGTGGAGATAGCACAGCAGATACCTGGCTTTGGGCAAGCAGCCCAGGGCTGGGTGCCATGAGACATGGCTGGTCACCACTCACAGCTCTCACCTTCCGCTTGCCCTTCAGAGAATCCTGTTTTGTCACCTGTGCATAGACTGCATCATCCTTGGCCCTGGGGTCCTCTGGCAATCCCCCACATGAGTCATGACAGACTGGAGCTTGATTCTGTGCCAGGGAAACCTCCAACTCAACACACACACACACACACACACAGACAAACATACACACACACACACACTTACACTCATACACTCACTCTATCACACTCCCACTCTAACAACACATTCACACACTCACACTCTCACATACTCACACACAACACACTCACACCATCACTCACACTTACACTCTCCCCCACACACTCTCACACACTCACACTCACTCTAACACACTCACACACTCACATTTATACTCTCCCACTCACACTCTCACACAATCACACACACTCACACACACTCATTCTCACACACACCCTCACACTGACACACACTTCCACACACACTCACACTCATTCACACTCTCACACACAGTCATACACTCTGTCACACACTCACACACTCATTCACAATCTCACACACACTCAACACTCACATTGACACACACTCACACACTAATACACTCAGACACTAATACAAACACTCACACAAACACTCACACAGTAACACACACACACTTACATTCACACACACAGTCACACAGTCACACATACAAACAAACACACAGCCAGGAACCCAAGGCCATGGTGGCTACACCCCTCATCCCCTCTACAAGGCCTCTTCCTGCCATTAAAATGCAGGAGGAAGGAAGTCCAGGATCCAAGGGGAGAGGGGAGACATCTGGACCCAGAAAAGTAAGTGCAACCTACCTCTCTCCATCTCCATCTTCATCTCCATCTCCTCCTCTTCCTCCTCCTCCTCCTCCTCCTCCTTCTTCTTCTTCTTCTTCTTCTTCTCACGTAAGTGCCAAAGAAACAGAAACCCTCCAACTCCCAGGATGAAAAACCCAGCCAGGAAGGCCTCTATGGCACCTCTTGTGTGGCCAGCTGTTAAGAAAACAAGAGAGTTAAGAACACATAAGGTGGAAGAGAAGCTGATACACCCATTGCCAGGGGAGGTGAAGAAGGCGCAGGTGTCAGGGGG